AGATTTAGGAAGTTGTTTTAAATTTTTAGGTTTCATTGCTAATGCTGTAGGCACTTGTTAAAATTTTGTTATTTGTTGTTCTGTTATTTTCTTAGGATAAATTTTTAGTAATGAGATTATGGGTTGGAGATATAAACATTGTCATGGCTCCACGTTCCTTTTTAAATGGATTATTACCAATTTATTATCTCTAGTGGTGTTTTCTATTTGTACTTTATTTTGTTTTTATCCTTTATCATTCTTTGGTACTTTGTATTTTGTTGCTACAACCTCAACACTATTTTCGTTAATTTTTTGTTGTTATTAGAGTAGGTACAGAATATATCTTATTAATAAATCTGCTTTAATTTGGATTTCTCTGCTCACTTTTAGAGCATCTTCCCACGTGTTTTCTCTGTATTCCCTATTTTATTCTTATCCTTTGCCGTTATTTTAATACTTTGTATTTTTGCAAATTATAGTAAGCCTTCCACATTATATTAACCAATTGTCATATTATAGGTCTTCAGTCTGTGTTTTTTTTTCCTTTTCATTTTAGTTTCTCTATTTTTCAATTTCAAAAAATTTGGATCTCTCAATTTTCTTCTGTTATGTTGTTTTTCTGTTTCTTTGGATTTGAGAAGTTGACATTTCCACAGGTCTGACACACACATTCAAATTTATGTCTCTGTACGCTTATTTTTATGTGCTATTGTATTATGAAAGACTTCCATGGAAGAATGACCTATAAGCGCCTTTGGGAACTCTTTTTTCTTGCCTTTAACAGCACTGTCAGAATTGTCTTAAACCAGCAACTTCAGGGAGATTATGAAATGTCGCTGTGCATAGCTGAGTTGACTCATAAAATGTAATATCCGGAAGGTACTTTATGATATTCTATTCCATAAATAATCTCTCATGTAATTTAACTAAGTTCAGTTTTAGAGGTTTCAATATATATTTGAGTCTTTCCCAGATTTTGCCATAATTCATAATGTAATAGTAAAATTTAATTGCCAGAGTTCTCAATAAGAAAGCTTATAGTATGGAAAAATGAAATATATTACAGGTATCTTCACTTAAGATACTTTTGAATATGCCATTTTGATCTTAAAGGAATACTAGAGGAAGTACCCACTAGCTCAGTAATGTGAAGGATGGAGATGAGGACATTTTCAGACTCAAGTTTAGTAATGTTAGAATTTACAAATCACAAATCTTAGTCAATGGAAAAACTCTAGCAATAAGGGGATCAGGGCAAATTTCTAGAAGCCCCCGAAATGGAGTCTTATGGAGGAACACTTTTATTGCTGATACACTACACAGGCCCAGTCAACCAGGGAACTAGCACGACATTGCCAGAAGTTTTCTGTAGTGCATAGGGAATTTAAGTGGAAATATTCTACTTTCATAATGGGAGCTAATGGCAAAGTAGAATTACATGTGCAGACTTTTTAAATTATAAACCTTGTTAGGGAAAAATTTATTCCTGTACTTTGAAGAATAATGGCAAAGACGATCATTTAAAAACACATAGGTGATATCATTTAAAAATACATAAGTGATTTTTTGAAAACAAAATATTTAAGTATCTTAAAAATAATCTAATATGCTTACATAGAAATTATTTCACCCTCCAACTTTCTGAAAATACTTAAATCTTTCAGGGAAGAAATTACCATATTCTGACATTTTAGTATTGGTTGGATCCAAACATAATTTCATGCTTTATTTCCCTACCTTTTTTTTGTAACTGTCATTTTCTTTATCTCTCTCTTTTCATAAAAGCAAATATTAGTTTTTGGCCTTTGTAAATGCCACAACAATTCAGGAAGATGCTGCTTCACAGTTTTTGCTATTTGTTGGGGTGTCTTGGACACCCAGAGGATTAAATTTCGAGAAGGGGATCAGTTTTATTGTAGAATTTTTTGGCTTGAACAAACTGAAACAAAACTGGTTGTATGATTATCACCCAGCAAGTTATTATGTTTTGTAATTTCCAGTACTACCTCTGAGATCTTTTCAGCCATTCTATCCTTGTTTAAGTTCATCTATAGTAAGTAATGCCAAACTGTCAAAGCAAATTTTGGACTGTCTTGCTCAAATATATGTTGTTTTTTGTTTTTGTTTTTGTTTTGTCTTTTTTAGATAAATTCACTTTGGGTTCAATGCTACAGAAGTTACACCAAAAGACTTTGGGTGGCTTAGTGTATATAAAAGGAAATATAAGTAGTAATTATAAGTAATTATAAGACAGTAATTATAAGTCTTACTTTATCTCGTTATTTTTAAATGGCCCTTAACACACATACCTCATGTCAGGACTTAAATACAACCTATAAGTGATTCTCTAAACAAGCTTAGAACTTATCTCTTAACTCTTGGTCCCACTAAGGAAGAGATTCAGCATTGGTTACCCAGACCAAATTGAGACTATGTATTCTTCCCATTCAGAGCAATCACATTTGTTAATTTGAAGTTATTGACGATATTAACACATTAATTGAAAGCTATTTTTCACAAAATCAGACAATATAATCAGCTTTAATTTAACTGAGTTAAGGCAGGGACCACATCTCTGGTGGTGGGGAGAAGTTCAGAATTATGATTATAATAAAAGTAATCAAAATGTGGAGCCAAATAGATTTAATGTAAAATTATTTGCACAATCAAATGGAAACTTATTAGCATAAGGAAACCCTGAATTCCTGAACATGTAGTAGACTCTATGTGACTGTGGTGTGTGATCTTGGATTTGGTGGCAGCTCCTTCTTCCTTCTTTAGCTATTACTTTCCTCTTAGCACAATGTTATCCTCTATTGGAGTCTCACATCTTTCTCTGAGATTCTCACTCTGACAGTCGAGGCAGAAAGCCTCACAGTTACATCACAGAATGAACACTGATTTTTTCTGATTGTCATGGCTTGAGCCAAACCAGCATTACCTTCTCAAAGTTGTCATCAGAGGACTTTTTCATGGTTTTAAAAACTTTCAGTGTGCTTTACCTAAGAAGATGTAAAAAAAAAAAAAAAAAGTGCCCATTTTCCCTTTTAACAAACCCATTCCATATTGTTGTGTTCTTTAAAACTCTTCCCTCATCTAATTCAATTTTTTATTCAAAAAAGTTTTCTTTGTTGAAATTTAAGCCACTCTTTATTTTTGTTTTGATTTTAGTTATTAGCTTGCTATATCAACTTACAAATAATCAGACGATTGCATATGTTCAATTAGCACAGAATTTGTTAGCTCAATTATGGGCCATGTGCCTTGTTGGGGAGTGTTTGGGACATTCCCACCTTGAGGTGGACCTGATGTGATGTCTAGTGGTAACTATGTAGTTAGAAACAATTAGCACCTTATAACATAAGATCTAATTACTGATTTCTAGTCATTTTGTTTTTAAGTTTTCCTTTCAGGCTTATTGCATGATCAGGGTAATGTGGCCTTAGGTCATTTTCACTTGCATTTAAGGTTGCTTTGATCTCTATCTAATTTGATCTTCATAAAAAGCTGATGAAGTTCCATTTTACAGATGAATGAACACCACCCAGAAGTCTAGGGGACTTGTCCATGGTCACATGGTTAGAGAGGCTAGGTCTTGTGCCAGAATTTTCAATTCTTTCTTTCCACTAATCACATTCATGCTGTCCCTCCATAAAGCCTCAAAAACACCACTGTTGTCGTAGCACCCACTTACGTATGTTTGATATCTACTTAACTCCTGAGAAAAGCATAGTTGGGACAAGTTACGATCTGCCAGGTGAACAGAGAGAGGGTTGGTTAAACTTGCACTATTTGTACAGCTTCTAGTGAGGCATAATGTATATGTATGTACATAAAAGTGTATTTTTAAAACATTTGGAAATAAATGTTTAATAACCTGTATAACTGTTATTTTTTGAAATCTTGGTTCAGTTATTTTTATGTGAACACTTATTCTGTGGCCTTGGATGTTTATACTGTTAACTTAAAAATAAAACAAAGATTTTGATAAAAGCAAATGGTCTGTGTTGGATTAGGCGTAGGTCACTTCACCTGTAATTAAAAAGGCTTTTTAAGCATTTTTACCTGTTCCTGGTTACAAAGACATATTAACACAGAAAAAAAGCCATTATAAAATCTTTAATTTCAAAATGCTTGAACCTAACTTTATGAAACATGTATTTAGAATCAGTCATTTTACAATTTGTCATCTCTTGGCACATGTGTCACTTTGTGTGTGATCCACATCTACTTAATAGTCTGAATCTTTTCATTAAAAAATTCTCTGTTCAGGAGTCATTTTTAGTAAAAATTTAATTATTTTACAGTCTGCTTATGAAAAAATTTTAATTTATTTTACAGTCTTATTAAAAAAATTTATTTTACAGTCTGCTTATGAATCTACCGTTTTTATGCTGAATACTTTTAAAACCTTTTACCAATGAGCAAGTATGAATTGACTTTCTCTCTGTAGTCAGCACTGTGTATACATGGGAAAAAAGGAAAAGACTATTTTGCTTTCTTTGGAATTTTATTTGACTTTACAAAGTGTTTAGCATAAGCTTGCATCCAATTTGTCAGTTGTCTAACTATTTTAAGATGTGTTCTGATTCATGTTTAGTTTTTAAATGATCTCAGGTGGCATATGTAGGTACTCCCAATTTTGAAGTTTTCTGCAAATTTAAGTATCCCTAAACCCTGAAGAATACTTTCTATTCTGAATTCAATTTGATATCCCTCTGAGGTCTATGCAAACATATCAATATTTATGTCACCAATCTGAAGATGAAGAAATGATGGTTTTTTTTTCCAGGATACCACTCTATTGCTGACAGAGGCAGATAAAAGTCAGAAATTTTTCTTTTTCATTAATTATTAATCACACTTCCATTGTTTTAAAAGTCAGAGCTAGCTCTCGCCCCTCAGTAGAAAAGGAAAAATCAAAAACTAAGTAGCAAAGAAGAAATGAGTCTATCTCAGTGTAAAGAAGAAATGAGTCTATCTCAGTGTAAATTTAAATATATTTCTGTCTTCCTTAGGAGAGAGTTATGTGTGTGGCTCCATAGAACCCTTTAAGAAACTGGAGTACACCAAGAATGTGAACCCCAACTGGTCGGTGAACGTCAAGACCACCTCAGCTTCCCGGGCGGTGTCTTCCCTGGCCACGGCCAAAGGGAGCCCTTCAGAGGTGCGAGAGAACAAAGATTTCATTCGGCCCAAGCTGGTCACCATCATCAGAAGCGGGGTGAAGCCGCGGAAAGCGGTCAGGATTCTGCTCAACAAGAAGACTGCCCATTCGTTTGAGCAGGTGCTCACCGATATCACCGACGCCATCAAGCTGGACTCGGGAGTGGTGAAACGCCTGTACACCTTGGACGGGAAACAGGTAAGAGAGGCGTTGGGGCGCGACTTCGACTTTAAGGCCAGAACCAGAGAGTGGGGGGTATGTGTGACATATGGTAGGGCCCTGAAGCAAGCATTGCTCAAGTTGTTGAGGGAGTTGGCTCATTGAGTCAACAGTTATGTACTTGTTGGTCTCACACCAGGCAGGATTATCCATAGCAATAAAGACAAAAAAAAAGGCCTATCTTTGAAGATGAAATGGTTACTCAGGAATTTCTTCTTTTTTTTAGTTATTATTTTGCTGCATATAATGATTCTTTTCAGTTATCTGTTTTCAATTTTGTCATATGTCTTACAGCCTTAAGCATGACTGAGGCATAGAGATAAACTGTGACCAGTAGAGAAAAATCTAACTCATTTCTTTGACCTAAATAATATTTTGTGATTTTTATGTCCCAGGAGTGTTCACTAGTGAGATTTATTTAAACTTTATAGGTTTTAAAATATATATCTAAGGAATGACATATTTCCATCTGGATGGCTTTAAGAGACATATTTCTGGAACATTATGCGTCTTGTGTTTAAAACATAATTTCCAGAATTAAAATGAAAGGGAGGTTTCTTTAGTTATGGAATGAACATCAGCTGACTTGGATGGGTGAGGACATTTTAATGTGAGTTGGTCAGATGAGCCCCAAAAAAGCATTGCTTTTCTGTGTCATGTGTGGACTTTTGTAAAGATTTGACAGAACCCTGATGGTGAGCTAAATAAACAAACACTGATTATAATGTATAGCATGATTTGCTAGTCATTCAGAGCTTGCCACTGTCTTTTTGTTTAAGATTATATTTTTTAGTACACTATCTTGGCTGGAAATTTAGTTTTTAATGTGACTGTATCAAAATTCTTTTTTTTTAATTTTGAGGGATAATTTGAATGATTTATAGTATAGCACATATTAAAATAAAAACTAGATTCATAAATTAAAAGATTGATCTTATTAAATAGAAGACTCATACAAGTTCTTGGACTGTGACGCATTCAAACTTTATGTATTAGAAATAGATGCTAACTAATATTAGAAAGAATGTTAGTCATGAAAGAATACCTCCCTCAGGGATCCATTCAAACGCTCTGAATTGTAAAATTCATTAGGAAAGAAGGAATATGTGCTGGTTGTTCATTTATATTTACTAGTCTTCAGCATGTCTCATAATACTTGCCCCTAAGCGTCACGCGTATAAGGATTCCGAGGGATGAGGTTCTCGGTCTTCTAGATCTGAATGTCACCAACATCATCAACGACCAGAAAGTCCACTGCTGGCTTTTGAATTATAGTAGCAGTAATACGGCAAGCTTCACATAGGAACATTTAAGCCCTTCAGTGGTTCCACTTCTAATGAGTTACTCAGTCATCTTATAGTTTTGTATTTTCATGTATTGAGTTTTCTCAAGATGGGAGTTTACCTATTTTCATAAAAGTAGAATTTAGAATAAAGAATACATGTTGATAAATCTTTTTCTTCCTTCCTTATGTCCATTCCTCATAATTTTGGGAGTTCCAAATTGCTATACACTGAATATAAAAATCAGCTTTTCCATCTGCTATCAACAAATCATTTAATTTTGTTTATTCCAAGAATTAATTCCTAGAATAGGTAGGATGTTCTCAGTTGTTTTCTTCCTTTCTGAATTTATCTAGTGCGGATATTTTATAATAGCTAATTTGCTGTGGTTTACCTGTAAATAATCCAATGTAATGGGAAAAAGCCCCAGGTTTAGTGAAAATCCCAGGTTTAATGTCAATCTTGGCTCAGCCTTGGATTAGTTATGCTTTTAGCAAACACTTGACTTAGGCTGATTACACTCATCAGTAAAACGTGGATAAAATGATCTCTGTATTATAGAGTGCTTGTGGAGCAACTATGATACTAAACATGAAAATAATTTTGAACTATCATGATGACAGCTTTATTGAACACTGTTCTAAGTGCTTTGTATGTATTAGCATGTTTATTATCCCCATTTAACAGATTAGGATACTAAAGCACAGAACTTGTCAAATACATGCCCAAGACCTCACAACTATAAATGGCAGAGTTGGGATTTGAACCGGTCTCGCTCCAGAGCTCGTGCTGCCGGTAACCACGGTACCATAGCAGTTTATGTGAAAGCACTAGACAGATGTAAATGTACTGAGAAAGAATTGTCAAGGGGGTGATTTGTCCAGGGAATATCATCTGAGAGATTTCTGCTCTGTGCTTTTTTCCCTGCAGTCAATCTGCTGACTGTTGCACTCAACTGTGTTTTGGTCAAGCGTTCAGTTTGCTGTTGTGGCGTTTCTTTCTATTGTCGGCATGTTGTCATCATAGCAGGAGTGGTGGAAGGCTGCTGAGGAGTTGGATGATAAAGTGGAAAGAACATAAAGACGTATTGCTTGGGTTCCCAGTGGGAACAAAGATGCTTCCTCATGGACCCCAGGAGTCTTTAGAGTTGTTTCGGTTCAAAAGAGAAATCTGCCCCATAAGCAGTTTGTTAGAATAGAATTTTTTGACAGCCCTGGCAGAGGTGAAGGCTTGATAAGCCCAAGAATAAACCACTTTCCTCCAAGCCGCCCTGTGGAATGATGCTTGGCCATAGTGGCCATGCTGCCACCCTCTTACCCAGCCCATGTAGTTTTGCGGTCCATACACTGTCAACAGGACATCACCCTAAGATTACTTGTCCCACCTCTTTTTTTTTTAGTAGTTTAACTGAGCCCTCACATCAACTCTGTAAACAATATGGGAAATCCAATGCCCAATAAAGTATTTAAAGGTAAAATTTCTTTTTGAGTTTTGAGGAAGTAGAATTGTTTAAAAAGTGAATAGCTTGAGTGCTTTGAGCAAATGCGGAGAGGGGGTGATATGCAGGCAGGGAAGGCTTTTCAGATCGCCTCTGGCAGCCTGCAGATTTAGCCATGGGGGAAACTGTTGACGCAGGGATTTTGCTGTTTAATATGTTACCCAGAGGAGATGGGCGCTCTAGGGCGTAGACCACATGCTGTTCTAACGTTTTTTTCTGCCACCATTCCTTGCTGGCTTGCCTCCTGGGTTTGCATTAAGCCCTAACTGAAGAGTTCATTGTACAGCACTTTTTTGAGGTTTTTAGGCTGAGTTGAGGAAATGAACATATTGGAAAAGCTGCACCATTTAGGAAAGCTTTTGCAGGAAGCTGCAGTTGGTCAGGATGCCCGTTGTGAGCAGGCTATCTGTGAGCAAACCCTTCCTGGTGATTTCAAGGCCATTCTTTGTTCAGGGGCCCTGAAGCTTCGGTACAAGGTTGCCCAACCTTTCTCCTCCTCCCAGCCTTTAGGATGACTGCCCACCACATACGCCATCAGGTGCTTTGCTGGAGTGGCTGGGGAGTTTAAGGAAGCACTTGTCATGCTCATTTTCAGTGATGCATTTTTTATCTGGGCCCTGATTAAGGACCCCCAAAGAAGAAAAGGGAACATTTTCTCACTGACGGTTAAAATCACATCCCCTTCCTCCATATCCGAGGGGAGGATTTGCAGGATCTGAGAGCCTGAGCGTCTCTTCCTCTTGCCCCAGTCCAAACTGTGGATGCTGGGGCTTTGCTGTGGGTTATTCACTCACCCTGCCAAGCGGCTACTCCTAGAGGCGGTAAGGAGTATGACTATTTTTTAAGTGATTAAAATAAGCCTCGAAGTTACCAGATTTGCTACAAAGATACTCTTGCATATCTCCTGACTCCTTTTATGGGAAAGCAAAGCTGGCTGTCTTGAGCTGCTAAATCTGCTAAATCTGTGGTTATTGAATTCTTGCTCAGAAACATAGAACAGCAAGTCTTAGAACAGCAAGTGCCTAAACAGATAATTTATACTGTAAAGATCATAGATAAGGCACTTCCCAGTGATCCTCCCTTCCCGCTGAAATATTGCAGTGATAAACTAGATTGCTTTTTAAGTAGAAAATATATGCACTTCCCCATCTTATCTACTCTTCAACATTGCAGGTCTCTGCAACATTGAAGCATACTTCAGTAGTAGAGGAAAACTCAGGGATATTTTATATTTTTTATGTTATAGTTTTATCTTATGGACATTTCACATAGGTCATGCACTTTGTAAAATCCACCACTGCTAGCAGCTAGAATGATTTAGGAATAACTCACTGAAGTAAGGATATTCCTAAACTGATTTCGATGGTAAACAGTGAGAAGAGGCGTCATGGCTGCCAGGTTGAGGACATCCCCGCAGCTGTCAATAAATTAATATATTACTATATCTTTTCTGTATCTTTTGATCATGAATCCCCATTGTCTGTTATAAACGTAAAGATCAAAAGATGCTTGTAAATGAGTCATAATAACTGCAGCCATTTATTTTACGTGTTTAGTGTAGGAGTTTATTGAAATTCAGGAAATGGTAATGATGATCAGTAGGAATCTATGAATCAGATATCACAAAATCATCTTTATTTTTTCCTTTTGGTTTTTAATATTTAATTCTAATCTGAGGTAAAAATAATTCGGTCCACCATTGAGTTTAGAGAGCTTAGAATATGTCTTCCTCTCACAAATTAAAAAAGTGGTACGCATTACTATGACATCTGAACTTGGTTATAGCAGTTGATGAGTGTAGAAAATTTGGAAACCAGAGGTTTCCAAATAAAAAGTAAGGAATTTAGGATCTGATAAGATTAGCTGGAATGGAAAAGGAGATTTTCTATAGATGTTAGTAATAGTGGCATTTTCCCTTTTTTTATTAGTAGGAGTTATCTGTGACAGCTCTAATTAACTTCTGCAAGCATATTAAAACCCTTCATTCTCAATATGAAGATTATGTACTATTAATATTATGATTTGGTACATTATCTGTGTTGTAAAAGTGAATTAACACTTTTTAGTTTTGTTTGCAATTGGTGTAAGAAAACAGTTGATACAAGTAATTTAGCTTACATTTTAAAATGTCAAATTAAAATTTTCTACAAAAGCACAGGGTACATGTTAAACCTCATGATTTATTAGAGCTGTAAATT